AAGTTTCATGGCCGACCAAGCGAACTGTAGGTAACGTTCTAACATATTTTTCTTGCAAACGGTGCTGAGTCTATAATACAGTCATGAAGCTTCTACAGCACGGTGTACACCTATCGTATTGCTCGCATCTGACTTCAGTCCACCTATCGTTCTCTGTCACCCCTAGTTTTGAGACAGCTAATTTCCATCTAACACTCTACCTTGGTGTCATCCCTACAACCATAGAGAAGCTTCCCATCTCCATTCAACACCTTGTCTTTCACTTCCAGGCATCCTCCAACATCCAACAGATTCTATCGGATCATTTTGATTTCGAACGTGTGGAAACTGCCTTCCTTAGCCTACCGGCACTCCTCACTGTGACTTTCGACTTCATCAGCACTCCTAATGAGGTGAATAGAATCTCCGATGAACAGAGGGGGGTGTTGGAGGATTTTATCAAGGATCGGATGCCCACTGCTACTTCGAAAGGACTTTTACAGTTCGAGAATGTGGCGTGGTGTAAACCGAAGTGGCAATAGTCTTTGGTACGGTTTGTGAATCACTAGACTGTGATCGTTTGAAAATAGTGAGTCAGTTGGGTTTGATGGGTCACATGTTGACATCGTGCATTATTACTGTAATGGATGAGAGACGAACAAATTTAATTTCAGTCCCATGAACATGATTGAAGACTTTCTACATTCGTATCACAGGTGAAACTATGAAATAGTTGAGTATGTCGAGCTCGCGATCGAAGAAAGGTCACACCCAGTGGTAGACCTGGATGAGAGAGTTCCGCGGATAGACTGATGATTACCACTTCATTAAAAATCCATAGTGCACATAAAATATTGGTAAGACTTACATGTGGACCAGATGGTGTGATTAATCCTAATCCACTTGGGATCCTCCTCTGTATCGAAGAGGCGTTTCAACTGATCCACATTCTCAAGATTCATAGCTCTTTTCAAGTGCTCCTTCGTTTTGTTTGTCCCAAGATAGAATACGTGATAGTAGGTCCCGTCAATTTTTATTGACATCCGCATCATCTGCTCAAGTTGCACCATGAGGTATTCAGTAGCTTTTATATCAAGATCAACTTTGTCGACAAGTGTTGGTGGCACCACTTCATGATGTTTCAACGCGAACTCTCGGAGCCACTTGTCATCACGTAGATATCCAAACCCAAGCCGGGGAATATCACTGGACTCCCCGAAAGGAGGGTGACTGGATAAGCTGTAGAGATCGTCGAAGTAGTCGCTGATAGTACGTGCTGGCATTGTAGTGGATTTCGATTTCGAGGACATTTTCGGCACCAGTACTAGGTTGTGGTGGGTCTGATACTACTATATATTGAATTATTAGTCACCTTGGTGATGATCAATCCAACGAATACTTACACGTCGCTATCAGTGGACAGTGTCGACGAAAGACTCCTGTGTAAATAGGATCGAGGAGGAGGAGGAGGCGGTGGCACCTGGCAGAAATGTGTACCAGCCTCATTGTGAGAAGAAATCATACTAAACGTACTAGATCACTAGTATCAGGAAGCTGGTTTCAATTTAGATACGGTGAATTTTACAACTTAGATATCATCTTTACCTACCTTTTTCTGGCTCAAAATCTCCTTCTCTTTCTCGTTTGCTTATTTTCTTTCTTCTAACAGGGCTGCAGGACCTATAGAAATTCATCTTCTCCATCAATCACAGTTGAATCGAGTGAGGCAAGCTTGATTTTCAGCAAATGATACAATGAAATGTGTACTTTTCGTGCGAACTGGATACCAAGTCATGCGGCTGCCGCGGTAAGATCATATTGAACTTCGTTTACTGCGGCACAGTCAGTCTCAACTTCAATCCCTTACTACCATGATGTCTAACTCACCTTATGAATTCATCTTATCACAGGAGCTGTTTGACCGAATCATCAAGGAACTGTTGGATATAAAACCCAGACTAACTGCCTTCGATACACTGAAGACATGCTCACTCGTTTCACACCGTTGGCTTCACGCCGTTCGACCTCATCTCTTCCACAGTCTCTATCTCTCTCCAACAAAATGTCGTCTCCAGGAAACGGAATCCCTTGATAATTCTGTAACATTGCTCAAAGAGACCCGATTCGTTACTCAATACATCGAGTCTCTTTATATTGAAGGTGGCTGCCCATTCGGAGATAACTATTGGCGAGACGCACATCTACGTCCATTCATATCTTGCCAGCTTATTCTCCATCTACTGAGTCTTTTGCCCAAGATCACAACCATGACCTTGAATTGGGTTCGCTTTCAACCAGCTCAGTCTGGGGATGTATCGGAAATTGACTCGGAGGGAGATTGGGTTCATTTACCTGGCACAATGAATCCATGGAAACATCGCAATCAAATATCTGTCCAAATTTATAATGCAGGTTTCTACGAAGATCCATGTTATTCTGTCATGCAGTTTCTCTCACTGTTCACAAACTTGAGATCGTTATCCGTGATAGATTTGTCAATTGGTGCTCATTGGACCCATACCACGGTGCAAGGAGGAGAGGAAAGTATGGAAATGATTAGGGACACTCTCGGGGCGGACAAAGTGGCAGAGCATGATATCCGGAGCCCAGAGACAGATTCAGACGATGGGTTCGAATTACTACCATCCGATCTGCGACTCGTTCGTCATCTCACAGTCAAAAGGACATCATCAACCGCTGGGTTCCTTGATTTTCTTTGGCGAGAAGGAGTAGAGTATTTGGAAAGTCTAAATATACTCACTTCTTCCGTTGATGAAGTTGTCGCTCTTGGACGTCTGATTGAAGCTTCCCAGTCGACACTCCTCCATATCTCCCTCGATGCGGAGTCCGGAATTGACTATACCGAAGGAAAAGACCATAGTATGTCTCCTTTCCTTCTATCTATTTCATTGAGTATTCATGTCACTGACTCTCATCCACTATAGAACTTTTAGATGATTTTTCCATATTCCATCTAGAGGGATGCATTTATCTTCAAGTCTTCGAAATAGAAATCAATGTCGACAGACACCAAACTAATGGAGATAGTGCAATCGCTATATTGTCTTCATTACCCAAATCTTCAAACCTACAGGAAATCAAACTCAACTTGAGGTTTCGGGAGTCAGATTTCAGAAAACGCAGCCCTAGAAATTATGTTGATTGGGAAAGACTAGATGAGATTTTGTGCTCGTTGGATGGGTTGGAGAAGATCAACGTTCTCTTGAGAGGAAGACTCCCTGATGACATGCGTATCTTGTACCCGACCGTCTATGTAGACATTGTGAACGAAGGATTGCCAAGAGCAATGGAGAAGGGGTTGGTCCACTTTACATTTTAACTGTCACATCGAAGGAGCATCTTGAAAGGATCAGTGTAAGATTTATATTTTTTGTACGAGTCAATTACAATAAGACGAGTATATGATCACCTGAAAAACGAAACAAGTTCGAGATAGAGTGAAGAACGACCTTTGAAGTTCAAAACAAATCGAAGCCTGTTCGATCGGAAAAAAATTAGCACCAAAGGAACTTCAACGCAGTCACTCAGAAGAAACAACAAAATGGGTATGTCATCCACATCTTAGTAGTAAACGCATCATTAGAATCCGATGATAGACCAACCCCTACGAATCTCACGGTCGGGGTCAACGATAATGAAATATCTCGTCAATCTTTCCCTCGCAGCCGCCACAAATGTTGCTGGAAGCCAGTCAATCTCGTTGTCGAGATGTTCCCTCCTCTGAACAGCAATTGAGATCAACTTTGCGATATCGCGGACATCGGTGTACTGCTTCATTTGAAAGTATGCTCTCGTTGAAGCTCGATGATCTGACCATGCTTGGAGCTTCAACAGCAGCAGAGGAATGAGAGGTAAGACGGGAACATCGCTGAAATATACGATGCGATGTGAGGGGGTGAAAGGAATATTCATGATCCCAGGGAGGAGGATATCCACTTTGCAAGAACGATATCTGAAAACACCCGGTGGAAGTCTGTAAAAGAGAACCCGATAGGTTGCACCAATTGTTTTGGGTGCTCGGGTGTAGAAAGTGGGATTACTCCGTACGAGTAATGTTTTCAGCTCTTCTTGGGTGTATTGCGAATTCATGACAATAATATCAACGTCCTGTAGAAATACTGAGCACTTCGCGAATGTGAACAAAACATCAACGTTTACGCACACTAGGAATCCTCTCGACTCCATAGGTTGAACAACCTGCGCCTCCACAAAGACAACTGATCAATCCGTTTGAAGAAAAGATCTTCACGGCTTTACTTGCGACCTCGCGAATTTCTGCAGCAGTGGGGTTGGTACCCATCATGATAGGCCAACAGTTGTAGTGTAGGCGAGAATCTGAAGCTAGATGGTTATCAGTTCCCTAGAGTATGGTTTCTGAACCTATCCTATATTTGTAGGACGAAGAGCATATTCGAACCGAAGAAGTCGCACATTCTGATTAGGTCCTATCGATTGAACGAGAAAGGCTGGATGGTCACACCAAGTTCCAAGTGATCATCCCAGCGAGGGGCCGCGACGAGTTCAGGAAGCTCAGGAAGCTGAGAACTCGCGAATCCTTCATGAGACTGCCAACCTGTTTGTATTCGAGTGGATATAAAAAGCCAGGGGCGGTCTGTCGAGAGACTCAGAGTTGTTCCATCAATTTGAGGGAGGCATAGAACACGATATTCTAGAGTATGAGGCTGCGTAACTGCAAGTGTCCATGAAAATCAATAAGTTAAGCGGGAGGAGATGGCTAGGATACAGTCACCGTTGCGGTTTTCCAACCTACATGATGCATTTTCGGTCGGACTCTTGGTAAATACCACCACCGACTCAAAACCATACATATCGGATTGATCTTCATTACAGCTGGGCTTTCTGGAGTGATGCATAGCACCAGAGGAAGAAGGCTGGATGGGATGCGAAGCAGTCTGGGTGAAACTTATGCCAGTGTTTTACTACCTAGTATTCCTTCGGCGTGATTTGACTATATTGTTTTGGTAAACTATTCGTCACATGGCCTGGTGGTCTAGTAGTATGATTCCTTCTTAGGGCTCAATAAGTCAGATTGGAGGAGGTCCCGGGTTCAATTCCCGGCCAGGCCCATGTTTTTCTTCGTACCGTATTTCTTTTTGTTTGAAGACGATTTTTCTCTCGTTGTGATATGCATCGAACCACGCAAGAAACAATAAATAAAAATGATAGTCACCTCCTCCTTGGTAAGGTGCTGACCATAGTTGGCGCTTGTGGGCTCACTGACGTCCAATAAGTATCTACATGCAGATAATAGTTATATAGTTATAAGTCTAATGTACAAGTCATAGCGAATTATTAGTGGACACAGTATTGTCCCAAGTAACAACAATAAACGAGAAGAGAGTAAAAAGCCGACATGTGACTGAGCAAATAATTCGTCGACCACCCATCCGAATCCTACACCGGTCGTTCAAAAAAACTACCATTATTCCATCTCCGGTTTACTGTCAAGCGGTAGGGTAGGATCTGTATAACTATGATTGCATTTCGTGCAAACATAGAATAGAATCATTCGAGTCTCTTTTCGTTTCGACTGGTCCTGGAAAACGACGGCACTAGAGAATTAGACAGACACAGTGAGTCCTCTTGAAGGAGGAAATCATATAACGGCGATAGCTACGTACTCATCATTTCCACATGCAGGACAAACCATTTGTGAATGTGCCTGGGGACGAGATGAGCTGAGATGTAGATAGAGCAAGAGTGGTGAACCAGGAACTCACCAAAGTCGGATCTGTCATAAGATCATTGGTAACACCGACTTGTTCCCTAGAAATTTTGAGTTAGAATCAACCTTCAAGGCTACCCTCTTCTCCGCTTGAGGGGTGAAGCAAGGAGAAAAAACTAACTTTGTCACCGTTAACAAATCATTTCTATACACACACTTGTTTTCCGTAATTTCATCGTAGACACATATCCGACATGCGTAAACCATTATACGACGTTGAGGGTCGGCTTTGGGGTAGAGCAGGTTGTTGCATTCAGCGCAGAAATGTAAGGATGCCTAAGCCGAGGAATTGACAGAGGTTCGAAGGTTTTGGTTGTAACAAAGCAATTCTAGAGAGTCAGAAACTTGTCCGACACAAAAGTATGTCGTATACAAACCATTTTAAAGGCGAGACACAGAAACTCGGAGGAGTGGATGGAAAAGTGTTGGTGGTGCGCAAATGAGAAGCTTCAGCTGAGAAGCGCTGAAGTGTTCGTTGTTCAATTGGGACATTATGTAATCGCGACAATACTTAACAGCCTGCAGTAAAATTGAAAGTTTGTACCTATGTTCAAGTCTGCTTGAGATAACAAGTAGTATAGAATACAATTTGATGCTCTGCAGATCTGCGGGTGGAGTAGTTGTACTCTAACCGTGTATCATAGAAGGCCTTATGCGGTACAAATACCTGCAGTCCTTCACAAGACCAAACCGTAAGAGATCTCTAGATGCAGCGACGGGCATCTTCGTCTTAAAGAACCCTGCCAATTGTGAACGTCTCTGAGCAGAAATCGGCTTCACAACGCTTGTAGAAATATCAAACGTTATGGTTCGCAATTCAGGTAGTCGCAAAAGGGCTGATTCCATCCGTTCGAAATCGAAATGATCGGTGAGAAGAATCTCGAGGTTGGAGGAGGCCATGATGTGGAAGGCGATGGTTTGAACAGATAGTGGGAGAATATCGAAAAGAGCAAGAGGGATGGCTAGATATGAGTCGTAATTATAATCATCGGTGTGTCCTGTTTCGAGTGATAAATGGATGGATTGTAAGCGTGAACATGCCGATAAATTCAATCGGTGTTGTAGGAGCGATCTATCTATTGTATGAAAAGGTGTGTTCAACGAAGGCTTGTTAAAATCTGTGAGTGAGATACCGCAGGAACTCACAATTAGAGTCGCTATATACGAAACTTCGAAGTATATGACATTCCAGATGCTTGAGTGTAGAGGAAGAATCTTGAATCAGGGACGCAAACAGGTCGACCATAGAGGTGCCAAAAACAGATGAATCGCATTCCATGGCAAGGGTTTTCACCGCAGCTGGAGCAATCAACTTCGGGATGATGATAGGTGCCGATTGCAAAGAAAAAGTTTGTACGACAACCAACTGAGGCAAATATTTAGCAATCAGTGATTGGTTGGAGGCATCCCAAGTGGCAGCGGCTTCGTAGAATCGAGCAAGGGGAGTACTGAAAGTGAAATTGCCGATAAATTGGAATAATGAGAGGATGCTCAATACACCCTCCCAAGCTGCGGCTTGACCTTTAATCTGGAACATCATGAGTTCCCTCAAAGAGAACCGTCTCGGCGTGATTCTACTTGCGTCAGGAGAGGGAGCGATGAGGTTAACTCCAGCAAGTCGTAAGGTGTGAATGACGGGAAGGTTTTCCAAGAGTGTGTTTATGAGTTGCATGTCAACGTTCTCGATATTCAAAGGCCTCGCTCCAGCACCAAGTTTTCCTAGGATAGAAACAACGGAGATGTAACGGCTAATTTGAGGTGTTTGTTTAATGAACTGTAAGAAAGAATGGAGACTTTGGCCGGGTGGAATCCTGATATAATGGAATAAGTGGTACCTGCTTGAGTTAACCCAAGACCTGTGTACCATCGCGCATGATAGCAATACTGTCTTGTCATCATGGAGATGATCAATGACCATGTCGTAGATTTCTTGGGGAAACATCTGTGGAAAGATGCAGCTTGCAGAGTTGGCTATACGACTCGGAAATCTCAAGTTCAAATCAAAAGAAATGGCCAGTGTTGGGCTGCAGCTTTCGTTTATAATTCTCACGATCAATAATAGAAGTCAATCAAGACTTTTAATGAAAATCTAATCGTGAGAATATTGACTAGCGCTCACAAAGTTCGCTTCCGGTCTTCACGTTAATCACCATCATCATGTTCACCAAGTCACAGTCTTATCCTCTGGTTGAGTCAAGTATCGAAATGTAGGCCATCTTACTAGGTGTTCAATCAAATTTTATTGTCATATTGACTCTACTCCATTTTCTAGGATCTTTGATACAGTATGAGAATTACACACCTCTTCGGAATAGGCAAGTATCGAGTCAAGTGGGCACAACTATGGGCATTCACGTTTCCATCCCGGGAAAACAATAGCAATATTGTAATGCTCTGGCGGAGGTTGTGGACCTCTATATAACACCTTATGCTGGGTCAGGTATGAGTGTAGCTCTGGAGCTCAGATCCTATTCAACTTCTTCGTCGAATGACTTTGATAGAGAGCCAGAAGACCCCTTCGACAGCCAGATTCTTTGAGTCTAGCCCTGGAGACGGGGCTGATTCGTTTTCTAGCCTAAAAGCACGATGGATTCATCGTCGATTACTCAAAGGTCCTGCTCTCTCCCCAGTGTTTTTTGTCGGCGAGTCGCCTAGCCGTGCCCTTCCTATGGCCCTGGCAACTATGCGAGGGAGTATAGATGGTATATGGGCATCTTCGCTTCATAAGGTACCTCTCAGAGGAATGAACGAGTTGATGACGGAACTCAGAACTCGTTTGGAGGGTTATGGCACTGGGACGGGTAAGTTTCAGTTATCCTATAACCCACCCACATCACGCCGATACTCTCCTGTGCAGATCAATATGTATGGGATAGATATCATCAATTTGAGAGACATGTTCTTCGCAAACATGACATCGATTTTTCCGAATTTTCAACAATTCTGAAAAGATTGTTTTTGCAAATCGATGCGACAAAGTTACACGAAGATGATATGAAAACTGGGCCCCAAAATCATACAAGGCCACCGACAGCAAATATCTGGTTTCAATGTCCTTGGGTTCTCAACGGAGACCTTAGTCGTCTACTGAAAGATTTCGTCACTTCGGCATCAAAAATTCAGCATTACGGCGACGTTATTTTCCTCGGATTAACATCTCATCCTCGATATCGCGATAGGTACAAATTGGAAGAATCAAAGTTCTGGCAACATACAAGACAACTTGGATATGATCGATGTGTGATTCAAGGACAAGGCGTTGATACCCTCGAACCTGATCAGAAGTTCATTCAAGAATGTATCAAGTTTGGATATCGTCATTCTAGCGAAAGTTCCGAGAATATTCACGCGTATATCCGTGATTACCATGTCACACATGTGCTTATCAAGAGGTAAGATCTTTTTCTTTTTCACGGTTCGAGGGAAGGCTCTTAACCTGATACGATTTGATACTAGAACACGTCTTGGTGGAGGTATGTCAATTGTGAAAGTATTCTTCTCGTCCTGCTTTAGCTAAAATACGGTCTAGACTCGCTTCCATCTAGTCTCATTTCCATAATAACAGCGCACGCACTTTCTAAAGGTCACCGCCTTGAGCTACCAGGATCTTTCTCAACCATCGATGAGGACATGTGTTTAAGATCGCAACGGCTTAAAACGTTTTGTACCCTTGCCTGCATCTCAAGAAAATGGAACAAAGTTGCGAGATCCCACCTGATTATGAATTCCTTCCAGAATGAACTTTCTCCCTGGGATCTTCACGGAGACATCACGGCGGATTGTTGCATCGACTATGTTATCGTATTTATCTTTGGTCTCGTTTCTGGACTTATCATTTGTTTGCAGTAGAGTCAGTATTAGGCACTCCGTATGTTGTAGAGACAGGCGATTTCGTGCTGTAATCACACTGTTCCGTGAATCCCGTGTTGGTCTCACTCGCATCACTGTTGTGGTTACGCCACAAAAACCGTGTGGTCTTTTACCCTTGAAATGTCGAAAACAAAGGTTGATGAACCTGGGAAACGATGTGCTTCTCAATTAAATTATTCAACCGTGCATAGAAGGATCATGTCAGGTCCGACGATATCTGATATGCTTCCGACGTCGGCACCGGCTATAGGACCCTCATGGACACACAAAGACAAGCCAATCATTCCGACATTCACTCTATGGACCGATATTAAGAAGCACTTGAGAAGCTTTGTATTAATCCAGATTCGACAGATCCCATTCCTAAGCTATACTATACATATTATAGGATTATGTACATCCATTCCGATATCATTCATAAGAAAAGCGTTAATGATGATACCAAAGAGTTGAGAAGAGGAGGGAGAATAA